TTTTCGGACACGCGCAGTAATAGACACCAGCTTATATTTTCGGACAGAGGAAGTACATTTATAATTGTAAAAATAAGTATGAATTGACAGCTTTACAACTGTCTGGACAAAGTAACACACTCGCTGCAAAAGTCCGCTACTTACCGTTCAGCAAAGTAATAACTTTATGAGTCCATGTGGCAGTGTTGCGTAGCCACACCGACATAGACTGTCTAAAGTTAACAAACAGAGTTAAAACAGGTAGCGTGTGGAGCTTGAATATTCAATTTTGTGATTACTGGATATGCAATCAGCTATGTGCTCTCTCAATCAGAGTACGCCAGAACGCAATACGCTTGTGATCATCTTCCTGTTCTATAAACTCGATTATCATTGGCAAGGTTATGGTCAATGCAAGGATGCGAAGAGCAGATGAATACCCAAATGCTTCCATCTTTGTCTTCTTGCCTTGCTTAGTGTTAATGCAAAATCAATTTGCACTGGAACGCACGACGCAGGCGACATCAAAGTTAAGCAAATCGCCACCACGATTGTTTATACTTGCCTTGCAGTTTGCCGATTATATAAGTGCGAAACACATAAGATCTTGATTTTAGCTACCTAAAGAAGCGTTTAATTGAAACTTACAAAGGCGTAATAGGAGCTTGTCTCTTAGCGTTGATGAATATCATTATGATTGATGGTACACAGCTCGCTTTGCAATAAGACCTTCCGCTGTTTGACAATCAAGTGAGCTAATAGTGTCTTGGATTCGAACATGAAGGAGATACGGGTTTCTATAGTATTTGCTGCATTTCCGTAGCGATAGTTGGAGTATATACCAAGCTACAATGATAATGGTTTTATTGTACCGAGCGCGCAACCAAGTCCTAATGATTTAGATTCTGTATGGGTTGGTATGTTTACAGCAGTGGTTAAAGCTGTGTCACTAATTTGAACAAAAGGAATCAAAGATAAAATAATTTAGATAAAATAAGAAAACTGTTTTATGGTGGTCGGTATAGAAATACACAGATGATCGAGTGATTTATCCTTTCATATATGGACCAATTGTAGTTGGCTTCTGCGTATCAATTCATCATGTCCTGACCCATACCCATAACACTAAACACTTGATGTAAGAGGTCCATTTTTCTTAAACATAAAGTGTCAATTCTGCTACAGCGTGGAGCCGGGAAACATCAGCAATCGGTCACTATAGATACCGATCACCCACCACTTTAAACCACTATGTGGAGGTGTGAACATCCACACTTCAACACTAAGTCACTGATTAAATGATGAATAGCTGTCACAGCATTGTCTCACTAAGCTCAATGAGCTAAGGCCAGCACCATAGTCACTTTATGCAAGTGATTCGGGAACGCGTGTAACGAATTAGGTCTGACCCTCAGATTGTGATTAATCCATTGTGGGCAAGTTTGGTCTAATGCCAGGCTCCTTAAACAAATTTTGCCAAAAATATGCTGTATGAACAGATCTCAATCCAAAATGGTTACCTGAAAGTAATGCTGTCGGACGAATCTGTCTAGGATAGTTTGACGGTTTCTTATCGATTACGATTCTGCAACAGCGAAATGAGCTTTTTATACGATTCGTAAGGAGCACCATGTCGATATTACCAGACGCATCTAATGGAAGAAATTGTGAGTTTCGGTCATAATTGCCTATGTATTTGTACATCTTGGGTCACTAGTGCAGATTACTCGCTGAGCCGTACATCACTTATCATATAGCCGTCCACTCAGGGGAACGTCATGTGACCGATATGATTTATTATGTCTTTGAGGATCTCATCATAATGTTCAAAAACACTGTGAGCTCACAAGTCATGAAACAACGAACAGCTGTACCTCCGCGCTTGTAACTGCTTGTACATAGCTATGTCTCCTCTCGTAACTCCATGTGTAACAAGCTTTTAGTACTGCAACACCAATTGCGTCTCACTCGCACCCCGTCCAGACGACATTGCTGCTGTGTAAGTCAGCATTGTGATGATATATTTCAGACGATGCACCAACCCAACCAGGAGTTCCGCATCACCTCACAGGTGTACTCTGCCGGATGGAACTTGGTTGTAATCCTCCGCAAGCGATGGACCGACTACATTGCTGTCTGTGACGACTCACAATTTGGACAGATTGTAAAGCCGCATACATTTGATATAATATGCTGCGATATTTGATAGCTATGCTAGCAAAAAAGATTATCATTTATTTTTCATATCCATCTCAAATTCCACATAATGCATTACATGAGGCCAGATGCCGAGACTTCTCCTTCAAGAAGTATCATTCCGTTCTATTGTACCAAAACATGATCAGTATATTTACTGTCGTCATGGTGTGCATCTGAGCTGAGGTAAATAATGTAATGGTTACGTCTCCAATAAATAAGTAGATATTATGTTGCAAAGACCACGCGTTACAATTAACTACGCTGGATAAGGATTACTAGAAACCTCTGATATGAAGCTTGTAACAAAAAAATTCCTTGCCCTATGACGATTGAGTAAAACTTTACTCGCCGCGGTAATTCTGATAAACCAGGGCAAACGCTCGCAGAATCTTTTGCTTAAGCACACGTCATGTTGGGAATGCTTTGTAATTTGAAATACCACACGTGTATCCAATTCTTATGCGATCTCCTTGCTAGCACGACACGATGACCTCATTTTGGAGTAGGGCCCCGTTTATGACCATTCCAAACGCTTATGTCCAGAATAGAACATTTCTAATTAGAAATGGTAAAAGTCAGTTGGACCTGTACTGGCATCCAATTAAGTCTTCTTACGGAGATGACTCGTCGTAGCTTTGGGTATCTCCAGGCGATTTGTGACTACCTTCAGACGAGTTGTGTTTTTTTTCGGGTCTTGGACCGCCAAATGACAAATTTTCCTAAAAAGGAGATAATCATGCGTGTGTTGTACATCAAGTTAGGTGGGACATTCATGTTCTATCATACAGAAAGGTTAATCCTAGAATTTTTGTCTTGTTAATTCTTGGTCGTCGAGTTGGCGATCAGTACAACAAAATTACCATATATCTCTCTCATTTGCTAGCATTCAGCTCGTAGCGTATGTGATAGCAAACGCACAGAAGACTGGTTTATATATTGTTTGAGTTGCTGTGCCAGGATCATCTTCGATGTCAAATACTCTAAATTTGTTTAAATTAGATTTATGTTTACTTAAGTGAATTCCTATACTTGTTTCTAATGAATACGATAATGAGATCAAATTAGCCTTGCAGGAGGCAAGCAGCCCACCTGTCCCATATATATCTCTTTTGAGGCACCATTACCACGTTCTTATACCTCAAATATTTATCATAAAACTTTGCCACGGCAATGTTCAGCTTTACTTTAGGTCAAAGTGATAATAGATCAATGTGTATATATTCGATAACTGTATACATACCGCAATACATCTGGCCTCAATTCTTTTTGTGGTTAATCTCTGACCACGTATCTTTCCAGACGGGCATCCATATCTCATATTTGTGGTTGAATATTGTCACTAAGCTGTCGATGTTTGCAAAATCCGGTTTTTGCGCAAAATACTAGCACAGCAGAGTAAATGAACTCTCCAAACCTATATTTTTTAAACCCGACAAGGAGTTGGCGTTTGTCAGTTCAGTCACAACGTATCTTTACGATTGTGTTCTTAAAGCATACAAAAAATACTATTTGAAAACATTGATGAGATTTATATCGTATACAAACACGCCATTGTTGGCCATCGAGGTATGAGAAATTCGACGACCTAGAGTGGAGTTGCTGGACCCTACTCTCAACTATACGTACTTACACCAATTATGAATGGGCATATTATTGACGTGTGTCTGACCTTGTGGTGCTCACAATTTCTGTCTTTATGATACACTTAATTCAACGCAAAATCTTTGACTCGTAGATCTTGCGTTTATGATGGCTTCAATTATCATCCCCAGAAGGTAAAAATTAGACATTTTTAAGGACTTAATCCCGTTAAGTTGGTCGGATTACACTTGATATATCCTTTTTCGTCAATAATTCAAACTTACAACTCATTATGTAATGCTAGCAGTACAATGCCCGACGGACCTCTTTAAGGAGCACCATGACTCCACTCTTCTACCTGATATACACTAACATGGAATATCGTTACGTCTTAATGCAACGGCCAACTTGTAATGTATACGTGTACAGCGGGGCTGCCGTAGCAGATTGCTTAGAGGAAGCTAAGCTAAGGTCACCGACCTTACGTTCTTTCCAAAAACCAGTAGGATTGTAGCAGATCGCAATCCGCTAATTCCAAGAACTAAAACCCTTTACCAAAGCAAACAAATACTTCTGCTCAAATCGAAACTGAATTTAATTGTTTTAGTTGCGTTAGAGCTGCCAATATCTGAAACACTAGGTTTTTCTAATTAATATAGTAATGCCTGATTTGTGTAGTAGAACCTAATTTATATAGTAACATGCATTATTACTGGCAATCCTGCCACGTGGTGGCTTCTTGGTAAGATGTAGCTACACCACTGTGTGATTACGCTAACTTGTGTAATCCACACCTATGTATGGTCGCAATAATTTGTGCGACCCGCCCTTTCATATGAGGGTAGGTGTAACCCCCTTTCCAACGTGCATCGTCACAGAGTATAAATTCAATTACAAAGAGGGTAATCATAGGCGTAAACTTACACTTATCATCTAAACATCAAATTCTTATGATCTAAAGATACTAGTCTCGAGGCACACGCGTTAAGCATTATAAGCCCGGATCGTGCAAAGTATGAAATATTGAGGACGACACCATTCCTGATGAGCGGTACTTACAGCCTGCTAGTTTCGAAATAACTTGTAGCCATTGAAGTCAAAACCTCTAGCGTTTCTATTGCGATCAAGTTTAACGAGATAAGTATCCAGTATCTTAAGTGTCTAACCTTTTACTTTGAGAACCATTGTATTCAATTAACACTGTTCATTCGTTCGATATTGTATTCACTTTTGTAAAATTGTAAATATTGAAGCATCGGTATTTCCAAAATGATAAGACTCCGGAAAAACGATGTCCTTGTGCTCATGTGAGGCTAGCTGCACGTCAAACAACAAAGACAGACTATCCTTGAAAATGCAAAACGGATATATTTAGTATCAAGCTAATAAAATTCTAAAATAATGTCCTTTAGAAATAGCAGAGCTAACTTAGGGCTTAGTGACAGTGCATGCTCTTGGTCAATCTCAAGGTAGAGCTTATAAATTTCACCGTCTCACATTTGCTTACGCAGACTCGTCCAGTCGAATTCTCATCTGTGCATAATACACGGTAGCCTCGTCGCAAAGCGTTTCCGGCTTAACTACTTGCTACGAGCCCGTGTCTCCAAATGTTTTTTACTCACTGTGAAGAGACATTTGAAACGCGTGATCGAGCAGAGATAATCTAGATCGCGTAATATCTTACTGCTTGCCAAGAGAGTTGAACAATGATGCACTTTTTAGTGCGGACATAGAGCGTGTTGGCCACCATGACCTTAAAAAACTTGGTAGAGATACTTAACAGTCAAGTCAAAGGAAAATCAGCCCGGCTATAGAGAATTGTGGCATCAGAAAGAACGTCTGCGCCAGTGAGCACAAGAGTCTAAAGAACTGTGTGATCAGGTCATTTAGAGTCACAAAGACTTAAAATAGATCACGCGATGTCACAAGCCACCCCCAAAGCATTC